ATGGCTATTGTAAATGTATACCATTTTGTTTCAAAACACGATGGTTGCGAGAAAAATATGTTATGCACATCAAATGATAGTGTCCTGTTCGAAACCATGTTTTTCCGGAGACGTTGAAATTTTTTTCATTTTTGCCTGTATTTAGTACTATTTTCCATGGCTATTTTAAATGTATACCATTTTGCTTTAAAGCACGATGATTGCGAGAAAAAATATGTTATCGACATCAAATAATAGTGTCCTGTTCGAAAGCATGTTTTTTCGGGGACGTTGAAAAGTGTTTCATTTTTGCCTCTATTTACGACTATTTTCCATGACTATTTTAAATGTTTACCATTTCGCTTCCAAAAATGATGGTTGCGAGAAAAATATGTTATCCACATCAAATGATAGTGTCATGTTCGAAACCATGTTTTTCTGAAGACGTTTAAAGTTTTTTCATTTTTGCCTCTATTTACTACTATTTTCAAGGCTATTTAAAATGTATTGCATTTTGCTTCAAAACACGATGGTTGCGAGAAAAATATGTTATCCACATCAAGTGATTGCGTCCTGTTCAAAAGCATGTTTTTCTGTAGACGTTGAAAGGTTTTTCATTTTTGCCGCTATTTACTACTATTTTCCAGGGCTATTTTCTTTTTTTTTTTTTTTTTCCAAAACGATAGAGATACTATAAAAAGTACAAAAGTGCAACGAGTACAAATTACACGACCCCAATAGGGTAAAATCTACGACCCCAATAGGGTAAAATCTACGACCCCAACAGGGTAAAATCTACGACCCCAACAGGGTAATGAGACAGGGGCCAACGGCCCAAACCAAAAACACGCCTAGAAAAGAAACAGGAATAGCAAACTGAGAGGACACGCACATGGCGGCCTAGAGAACTCCACAACCGAAAATAAAGGAGAATAAATAACAGAGCCACTGCACAATGCCTAGCCTGTATTCATTTCCAAAACAAAGACAACCAAACACACGGAACAAAGAAAACGACAAACAAACCAAAAGGAGTACACATGACGAACACACTAAACAAAATAAAACGACCCTCTCCCGGAGAGACAACTAAGCCGAAGAAGCAGCTACAACTGACCACAGAAAGGTCCCTGGCCAAGCCCGAGCCCCCGAAACTGCCGCAGGCCTAACAAGAGGCAGGGCCCCGCCCCCGAACCCAACCAACGGACAGCACCCACTGACCGAGGAGAACAGGCCCAGCCACCCCAACCAGCAACCCGAATAAGGCTAACACCACTAGCCCTGGCCGAGAATACCGGATCCCACGCAACCCAAAATGAGCTGCTCCAGGATAGCGGCTACCTGCCCGAACTCCAACTCCGGCGACGACCACTTGACACAGCAGCCACCAAAGCCCCACCTAACCACCGCCGACCCTTATCCACAGCCCCAGACGAACAAACACCCTCTCGCCGCCTCTGCCCTCTACCCAGCCGGAGCCGAACCCCAGCTAATCGACCCAATCCCACACCAATACTCAGAACCACTACACCCAATCGGGCCAAATCAAGCCCATTCAGACGACCCCATCGGAGAAGTCTCGGAGCCCCAATTAAACCCTAACCCCCAAACTCTCCAAAATCCAATTCCTCCAGACTAAACCAGAGCAAGAGAGAGAGAGAACTTACCGACACTCCCAATCGCAACCAACAGCGACGAGGACACCGCCGGATGACGATCGGAACCGCCGCCTTGCTCCACCCACCACCAGACGAGAGACGAGAGAGGTTGCTATGGCTACAGACCAAGGATAATCGTCGGCAAGGGAGGATGGGCATTTTGCTTCAAAAAACAATGGTTACGAGAAAAATATGTTATCCACATCAAATGATAGTGTCCTGTTCGAAACCATGTTTTTTCGGAGACGTTGAAATTTTTTTCATTTTTGCCTCTATTTACTACTATTTTCCATTGCTATTGTAAATGTATACCATTTTGCTTCAAAACACGATGGTTGCGAGAAAAATATGTTACCCACATCAAATGATAGTGTCCTGTTCGAAACCATGTTTTTCCGGAGAGGTTGAAATTTTTTTTCATTTTTGCCTCTATTTACAAATATTTTCCATGGCTATTTTAAATGTATACCATTTTTCTTACAAAAACGATGGTTGCGAGAAAAATATGTTATCCACATCAAATGATAGTGTCCTGTTCGAAACCATGTTTTTCCGGAGACGTTGAAAATTTTTTCATTTTTGCCTCTATTTACTACTATTTTCCATGGCTATTGTAAATGTATACCATTTTGTTTAAAAACACGATGGTTGCGAGAAAAATATGTTATCCACATAAAATGACAGTGTCCTGTTCAAAACCATGTTTTTCCGGAGACGTTGAAAATTTTTTCATTTTTGCCTCTATTTATTACTATTTTCCATGGCTATTTTAAATGTATACCATTTTGCTTTAAAAATATGTTATCGACATCAAATGATAGTGTCCTGTTTGAAACCATGTTTTTCCGGAGACGTTGAAAATTTTTTCATTTTTGCCTCTATTTATTACTATTTTCCATGGCTATTTTAAATGTATACCATTTTGCTTTAAAAATATGTTATCGACATCAAATGATAGTGTCCTGTTTGAAAGCAGGTTTTTCGAAGACGTTCAAAAGTTTTTCATTTTTGCCTCTATTTACTAATATTTTCCATGGCTATTTTAAATGTATACCATTTTGCTCACAAAAACGATGGTTGCGAGAAAAATATGTTATCCACATCAAATGATAGTGTCCTTTTCGAAACCATGTTTTTTGGGAGACGTTGAAATTTTTTTTATTTTTGCCTATGTTTACTAATATTTTCCATGGCTATTTTAAATGTATACCATTTTGCTTACAAAAACGATGGTTGCGAGAAAAATATGTTATCCACATCAAATGATAGTGTCCTGTTCGAAACCATGTTTTTCCGGAGACGTTGAAAAATTTTTCATTTTTGCCTCTATTTACTACTATTTTCCATGGCTATTGTAAATGTATACCATTTTGTTTAAAAACACGATGGTTGCGAGAAAAATATGTTATCCACATAAAATGACAGTGTCCTGTTCGAAACCATGTTTTTCCGGAGACGTTGAAAAGTTTTTCATTTTTGCCTCTATTTACTACTATTTTCCATGGCTATTTTAAATGTATGCCATTTTGCTTTAAAAATATGTTATCGAAATCAAATGATAGTGTCCTGTTCGGAAGCATGTTTTTTCGGAGACGTTGAAAAGTTTTTCATTTTTTCCTCTATTTACTAATATTTCCCATGGCTATTTTAAATGTATACCATTTTGCTTACAAAAACGATGGTTGCGAGAAAAATATGTTATCCACATCAAATGATAGTGTCCTGTTCGAAACCATGTTTTTTCGGAAACGTTGAAATTTTTTTCATTTTTGCCTTTATTTATTAATATTTTTCATGGCTATTGTAAATGTATACCATTTTGTTTCAAAACACGATGGTTGCGAGAAAAATATGTTGTCCACATAAAATGATAGTGTCATGTTCGAAACCATGTTTTTCCGGAGACGTTGAAATTTCTTTCATTTTTGCCACGGCTCGACCTCGCAACGGCCAGCCTCAAAACCTGGTCGACCTCATCACTGCACGCAGACCAGAAGTGCCCATCCGATGGCGTCCCATACCTCAGATCCAGTCAATCCTTCACCCTAGACCTAAACTCCCCGCCGGTTCTCACCGAAAAAACTCAACCAACCATGGATTTGATGTAGTCTCGGACTATAATGGAAAGAAAAAACAAGTTTGATTTGGGATAAATTTTTTGAGAATTTGGGATTTTGGAGGTGCCGTGTTTTTTTTCTTTCTGACATTTTTTTGTGTTTAGATTTATGAAGTAAAATAAATCAATACTAATATTATTAGTATTTATATAGAGAGTGAAAAAAAAGAGAAATTTGATATTAGGGAGTGCAGTGGATGTTTTTATGGCTAGGGACTGAAAAGAAAAATGAAAAGGAGTGTAAGGATATATCTTGAATTTACTATATTTTATTAATCTATCATATTGATGCTGTTCAACTAGCTTCTATAATATTCAATGGCAGATTGATAGGCTGGCTCAGATTTCAAACCTCTATCAAACTTTTAAACCTGCGATCTATCACCTTAGATGCTGCCGTTGTCCAACTGTTTCGATGATCCCTACTCCTGAGTTCTTGAATAGTATCAAATGTTCTGGAATTCCAAATCACCAGTTGCATTTGAAGATTGGAACTCCTGTCATGTTGTTGCGAAATATGGATCATTCAATGGGTTTATGTAATGGGACACGGTTGGTTGTGACAAAACTATCCGCTCATGTTCTTCAGTGTAAGATACTCTCTGGGGATCACGAAAGCGAGAAGGTGTTGATTCCTAAATGGCTATTACTCCTTCCAATGTCAGAATTCCTTTCAAATTTCAGAGGCGACAATTTCCTCTTATGGTTTCTTATGCCATGACTATCAACAAGAGCCAAGGATAGTCGTTATCGCATATTGGTTTATTTCTTAAGAAGCCGGTGTTCAGTCATGGTCAATTATATGTTGCCGCCTCCCGCGTCAGAAATCGAAGTGGATTGAAAATATTAGTCTGTAATGACGATGGCGTGTCGCCAAATCAGACCCAAAACGTTGTGTACAAAGAAGTGTTTACTAATTTATGAAGTTTTTAATTTGTTTTTCTCTATTTTACATTTGTTACATAACTACAAAGTGCATTAAATTTAATGTCCCATGAATTGTTTAATTTAATGTCTCGATGACTCGACGCCAAATCAAAAGAAAAACGTTTTGTACAAATAAGTTTTCAATAATTTATATATTTATAAACGTATGCACCCAACGTGTTTACTTTTGTTACAAATATAACAAGTTTACTAAATTTAATCATTAAAATTTATANTTAGTATTTATATAGAGAGTGAAAAAAAAGAGAAATTTGATATTAGGGAGTGCAGTGGATGTTTTTATGGCTAGGGACTGAAAAGGAAAATGAAAAGGAGTGTAAGGATTTATCTTGAATTTACTATATTTTATTAATCTATCATATTGATGCTGTTCAACTAGTTTCTATAATATTCAATGGCAGATTGATAGGCTGGCTCAGATTTCAAACCTCTATCAAACTTTTAAACCTGCGATCTATCACCTTAGATGCTGCCGTAGTCCAACTGTGTTCGATGATCCCTCTCACCCTCATTTCACCTTTGAAACCATGTTACCTGCCCTCCATCATACCTCTACACACAAGATATAACCAACTGAAAAAACTCAATCAGGTAATTAATTACCCTACTTCCTTTTTATATCCGTATGTTGTGGAATCCTTGTGAATTCTTTTTGTGTTTGAGTTTGGAGTGTAGAAGAAGAAGTTTAGGGATGGCAAGTGCAGGGCTGAGTTCTCTGGTGACGCGCCAGTGGCTTTAGCGATCGGCGCTTGCATTCTAAACTCGCTTATTTTTCCGGCAAAGACTCTTCCACCAGAAGACAGTGAGGCTGAATCGTTGATTGACTCGGACGATGCGCGGTTTGCGGTCATGGGAATTATTAGCTTCATTCCTTATTTCAATTGGATGGTATTTACCCAATTTTAAAATTTTAAGGTTTTTTCATAAGTCATTATTGATTTAATATATCTGTTTTTTAATCTAGAGTTGGGTGTTTGCTTGGTTGGACACCGGGAAGCGGCGTTACGCTGTTTATGCTATTGTCTATTTAGCTCCTTACTTGAGGTGAGGTCTGATTTTCTCAACGTTGACTTTTCTTGTTACTATAATGAATTTGTTTTATTCTTTTGTAACTTGTACTCAGTCGGTCTTCAGTAGCTGCAATTAAAAAAAATGGGCTTAGAGTTGGAATTGTTAAGAGCAGTACATTATTAGGGAAGATTGGTGTAATCTGAGAAGTATCTGAAAATTTAAAATAAATGGTGATTGATTAATGACAGCATGCTTACACGTCAAAGAAATGTTAAAATTTGCTACTGATGTTTATTCTAGCTTTGTAGTGGCTGTGTTGTTACGAAAAATTATCTTTCATCTCATCATAATTAATTTTGCTCTTTCTAATCGTATTGCTTGTTTCTAGAGTAACACATTTTTCAAAGAAGCTAAAATGGTCATACAATAGTTGCGAGGTTGTTGTTCTATTTTATGATGCTTTAAACATCCAAAAAATTGAACTGTGTCGTTTGTTGCAGTTTGCTTTTTAAATTGGTTTAGGTTTGTTTTAATTCTTGAAATATTTTCTCCATATGAATTATCTGGGAACTGCCAACATCTGAGTCATACCATCCCGACTCCCTTGGCTAATGTGTAAATTCGTTCTTTTTTGTTAGGCCAAACCTATCAATATCTCCCGAGGAGAGCTGGCTGCCAATTGCTAGCATTCTCATCTGCATTGCCCACATTCAGGTTCATTATTTTTGTTCCTGGATAGTTTCCAGAGCAATTTCGCTCACTTTTGTACAACAATTTTATTGTAATGGCAGCTAGAGGCAAGCATTAAAAATGGAGACATTCAGGGATTTCAAGTGGAAAAACTTGTATCATCCATAAGTAAACACAGTGGAAATTCTAAAGAGGTACTAACTAGTCTCATATGAAAACACTTACTGTATGGTATAATTGTGGATAGAGCTTGACTCGGAATATTCTGATAGAGGGAAAGGAGGAATGATGAGATACGCGATTGGGGTGCTGCTCAGGATCGTGAAAATCATGAAATCTGTAATGAGAATGAAGATTCCAATGGAGGTGCACAACATTAACAGGCTCAAATGTTAATTTCAGTTTTTATTTGCATATCCGAGAGCGTTTTAGTTTGATTAGAGCTTACTTTGAGCAATGACTGGGCTATGTGGGGATGTTTTGAAATGTCAAATTTTATTGTCAAGTTAGGTGTAGTTAACTACATTGAAATGCTTGTTCCCATGTTTCCCCTTTGATATTATGGAATAAATTCTTATGTATTACTGAGATTCTTATTACAGACCTTTATTCATACACATTCTGAATTAATAGCTGTTATTTAAATGTCTTGTACATTGGCTAGTTGTCAGATTAAATTGCCCGCAGGTAATATAACGGTTTTTACTGTTAGTAAAAAAAAAATTGTTGTTGCGACCAGCCCTAATCTTACCGTGTTACTGTCAAAGGTTTGCTTTAATGTTTGTACAGACGAAGTGATCATATTTTTCTGTCAACAACTTTGCTATGTGTTGTTGGGATGGGAGGATTCTACTGTTTCTGGGCCAGTCTCCTTGATCAAACATGTGCCTTATAGTGCAGCTAGCTTATAGGACCTGCCAAGTGTGTCATAAGACAACTTAAACTATTTGTATCCGTCACCCAATGAGTGGGTCACGGGAATAAAACTAAAATAAAAAAAAAATATAAAAAAAAAAGGTCACAAAGATGAGCGACCCGAGTCGCATTGACCTCGGGTCGCGACCGGTATATTGGGAAAGAATAGGATACTTGTCCCATTTTTATTAGATAAGTGTATTTATTTGGTATAAAAAAAATATTAAAATTCATATTTTATCATTCTCTACAAATAGAGACCATACTTGATATATTTTAGAAAATAATTGCAGTTATTAAATAAATCAAAATAAAATAAATAGTAAGTTAAGTTGGATTGAGGGTAAAGATAAATTAGGTTGGAAGATTGAATTGTGTATGTGAAGGAGATAAAAAAAATTTAATTATCAGGTTGGGTTGGATTGCATTGGGAATAAGGATGGTCTTAGAACCCTACATTTTTCAGTGGCTTTTCAATTGTCAAAGTTAATTGGCTCATGTGGACCAAAGTTACAGAAATAGCGGATGGAAGAGGCTTGGGCAATCGAAAATAAACTCAATCGCTATTCACCGCCCCTCTTTTACTAGTCACCCCCCCATTTACTCTTTTGCCCTTAACCGTTTCTTGGATTTCATCTCTCTAAACTTTCTATCTCTCTAAATTTCCGAACATCAACGAACGATTCGAGCACAAAAAAAAATCCAAAAAAATGTCGAAAAAATCCTACGGCATCGGCAAAGGACTCTTCTCTAACAAGGTAATTTTTTTTTTTTTACGCTGGCTCGATTTTTTAAATTTATTTTTTGAATCTGACCGGTCGTCCGGCCGTCGTTTCCGGACGGTCGCCGTCCGTCCGGTCGTCGGTTTCGGACGGCCGAAAAACCGTCCGGTCGGCCCTAAAATTGTCCGGTTCCGGACGGTCGAAAAGCCGTCCGGAACCGCCGGCTGGTCACGAGCCGGCCGGACAGTTTTTAATTTTTTTTTTAATAATTATAATAATAATTATAATTATAAATAATTATAATTAAAATAATAATAATAATAATATTAATAATTATAAATAATTATAATTAAAATAATAATAATTATTATTATTATTATTATAATAAAAATTATAAATTATAATAATAATCATATATTATAATAATAATAAGTTGAATAAATTGTAATTAATTATAAATTCTAATTAAAATAATAATAATAATAATAATAATAATAATAATAATAATAATAATAAT